GAATGTACAATCTCTATGATTCCTCTGATTTTTCTTTCCAATAGTAAATAAATTCAATGGCCCTTGAGCTTGATCTCGGATATGTAGTTATTGCCACGAATGATGATCTTCAATTCAACTAGCACGAACTTTGATTTGAACTCGTACTCCTTAAATCTTGATTTGTTCTTCGTTCTTGAGGTTGTACTTGATTATTTGAACTTGAACTTGCGGAGGGATTTATACCGTTTGATCCACGAGCTCTTTCTTGCTTCTTGTTATAACTTCTGGTGTCTTTTCTGAGTTATAAAGACCCCTATCTATATATAATAAAAAGAGAGGCAAAAGCAAAATATTAAGACAAGTGGCAAAACCACAAAAAAACAAGTGACATTAGGACCAAAAAAACTACCTTTCTAACTAAAACACCTTTTGAATTTTAAATTTTGAATTAATTGGTTGGTTACTTTATTTCAATTTATAAATATAGATATCTTATAATTAGCTATAATAAAAAAAACAAAAACATATATATAAAAAAAATTCCATTCAAATTGTGGAATAGTTTCAAGTTGAAGTTTTAAAATAATTTTAAAATAAAAAAATAAAAAAAATAAAAATAAAATTAGCTATAATAAAAAAATAAAAATATACAATAAAAAACCTACCCATTGACATTGGGGAGTAATTTCAAGTTGGAGTTATAAAATTATTTTTTAAAAAAAATTAAAAATAAAAATTAAAAAAAAAACTTTCAATTCAAATTGGGGGTAGTTTCAAGTTGGTGTTTTAAAATTATTTTAAAGTAAAAAAACGAAAATAAAGAAATAAAAAACTTTCAATTCAAANATATATAGTTAATAATTTAAAACTCAGCTTCAAAGATTCTTAGGAAGTTTAAATTATATTTCTCTATTTATACATGATATTGCTAAAGATACTACTCTTCTTTATGATAGACTAAAGAAGAATCCAAACCCATGGACTGACAGTCATACATATCAGTCAAAAAGATTAAACAGAAGGTTAATAATCTTCCCTTTTTAACTCTTGCTAACCCAAGTTGGGCAAAGGTAGTTAAAACTGATACCTCAGACATAGGGTATGGTGGAATATTAAAACAATACTCTCCAATAAGAATTTGAACAGTATAATAAAAGTTTAAAAAAAATAAAAATTCAGCGTAATAAATATATATCTATATTATAAAAAAAGGGAAGTAATTCCAAAATATAAAATAATTGACAAGTTAATAAAAGTCATAGTAGTAAGTGTATAGTACTACGTACTTGCTAATTTAATAATAATAAAGAGTAATAAGGAACAAATAATTTATTCGATTACTATTTAATGTGTATTTTTTTCTTTTGTATAGATTTTTTATATTTTTGTACACTACATGAAATAATAAAATAATAACTAATATTTATTAAAATAATTTAATATAGTAGATTATAACTTATAACATTAATATTCTGTTAAATTATCCACGCATCGCGCGGGTTCTAACACTAGTTTATAGTTGTGGGAGGGAAGAGATTTGATGAGAACATACTCTTTCCGACCAATAAGATTGGAGCGTGGCAAGACCGCATTTGATTAGCCACAACACGTCACTTGCACATGTGGCACAGTTTCATTGGCCATTTAATTTGACCTGGCATGCCTTGTCATTTTGACACGTGGAACGATCCTATTAGCTATTCCGTTTGACTTGGCGTGCCACGTCACTTGACACGCGGCATCAAACTAGGCCCCTAGGAAGATGACATCTTGAGTTTAATGAAATGGACTCATCACGTTAGCCCGATGAATTTTAATTTATTTATTTAATCCATATATATTGAATTTATATAACTAATCCAATTATATTAGACCAATAAGTTTATTTGAACTAATATGCCTTGAATTTAAAACACATAGTCCAAAATAATTTTATGGATTGCCATCCAATAAAATTTAGATACCTGTAGTATCAAACGATTTTTTTATTTATGTTGGTAGGAGGTAACAAGTACCTCGTGACATTAATCAATCCTCTTTTTAATGTGTTAGTGGAAAAATAAGTATCTCGTAAAATTAATCAATTTGATCCAAACCGTAACAAGTACCTCGAGAAATACTCCCTCCGGTCACTTTTACTTGGCACGTTTTGACTTTTCACACCCCTTAAGAAATAATAAATGAAGTGCATAATTTATCATTTTACCTATATTAATTAATGCATATTTTATTGGATTTGAGAAAATGATTTGAAATGGTAATAAATACTGTGGGTAAAACAAGAAAAAAATTCTTGTCTTCTCTTGATATGCGTAAAGTGTCAAGTAAAAGTGAACATCTATTTTTAGTATACATGCCAAGTAAAGGTGACCGTAGGGAGTATAATTATTCTTGCGAGCTTGCCATAATTATAAAAGAAAAAGAGTACCACCCCCTTTATAGAGTTGTTACTCTTCGTCTCGCAAGATAAGAGATTGGGACTTTAATCAAGAAGAATTAACCCAAATAGCCACCCATCTAACCGCTTAAACTAAAAATAGTCGGTAGAGATATAATGTATGTATAATTTATGTATTATATATGTATATTTATATATAATAAATATATAATTTATGTATATGACTAGAAAAAGTAAACAATGAATATGACCGGCTATTTGTGTAAAGATCCCTTTAATCAAAGCCAAGATTCGGTTGTTTTGTTAGGTCGTGCAGGCATTTCTAATTGTATTCAATGTAATTCTTTATTAATTTTGAAACTTTCTTCATTAGTAATTTAACATGAATCTGTTTCTTTTAATGGTTCTTATTAAACGTTTACTTACTCGCACAAGAAAATATATGAAAACTTTATCGCTAGGAAGTAAGTGGTTCCTTGTAATAAGCTGATGTTATGCAAGTTTTAAATTTTACACGATTTGTGAATTGCATCACTTGTTATAGTTTTACAGGCAACAAGAAAGTATGTAATTTCTTATGCTAGCACAGATTAATGTACTTATTAGACGTTATTTTGTGGTAATAGAGTTTTCAAAATATTAATTTATTACTGTGTTTAAATATCAGTACCACAATAAAACAACACATAACTTATTCTATTTGTGATATTTCTTAAATATTGAAATTTTCATTTGCAAAAAAAAAAAAAAAAAAAAAAAAAAAAAAAAAAAAAAAAGGAAAGCAAAAGAAGCCTGTCAGTTCTCAAATTCACAACTTACAATTGAACAGAAACAACCTTCTTTTTTCNAAAAAAAAAAAAAAAAAAAAAAAAAAAGCCAATGTTTTACATTGTTTTGGAAAGGCTTCGTTAAATTAATCACCAATCATTAAACTTGTACTTAGGTTTGAAGAGGGATCATAATGTAAGTAGGGTCAGGATCAACTACTCTGTCATTTCTTTATTGACTGGTCTAATGAAAGAATTTTTTTTCAGCTTCTTTTAAATCGTAAATAAAATGAACCAAAATTTTATTAATTAAACAAGTTCTAGTGATTAAAAATAAAAGTTTACCTAAATTTATCTTATTATAAATCAAAATATATCTCATATATTCATTTTTAATCTGATGAACCAAATACCTACAAAAAATATATCTACTATAAGTTTGTTATTATTTGATTTTCCTATTATAATCTTCACATAATAACTCCTTTGTAAACGAAATGATCCCATATTAATTTATCTCCCGTCAAATATGTACAAGAGCTGAAAGAGACAAATAATACTAGTGTCGGCTTTCAATGGTAAAAGAATTACTTATGTTTCAGTTTGTTATGGAAAACGCCGCCGTATAAGGCAGTCAATTGGTGGGACCCGTTTCCCGCCTACCCCTTTATTTAACAGAGGTATTTAATTGCGGTCCATACTATTATAGCCCTGCTTCCCCTACACTCCGAGTGCTCTTTTTCCCATCACCAGACCTTACCCCAATTATCGACACGTGTCATTATCGGGTTGTCGGTGACCTTTCAATTTCAGTGATATCACCGTGACATTAGTAAATCCCATGTCACTGTTTTATTGGCATGTGAAGATAAAATGACAAAAATGATCACTTATATTTAGGATTAGGTTCAAAATGGTCCTTAAATATATTTTGGAGAAATTTTAATAATTTAAAATGTTAAAAGTGAGCACTTTTATTTTCCGTTAAATTTTTACCAAATTCTTGTTGATAGATCTAATGGGAACTATGAAAGAAAAGATTTAATATGAATTTATGTTTTGAGGTACACTTTTTGCTTTTTTGATATATTTTAGACATGGCGACTCAATAAATATGGAGGCCTAAAACAAAATTTCAATGAGGGGGCCTTTTTTTATATAAAAGAAAAAATTCATATATAATTTTATTTAAATTATGTATTTCTAGTTTTCAAAGTTATTAACAATTTTATCTAATCCATTTAATTTCTCTTGAGATATACACGTTGTGGGACTGTATTAAGGTTTTAAACTTTATTGAGTTATGAATTAATAATCGAATCCTTTCTCAATTTATAGTATAGAGAGTGATTCCCAAAAAGATATTTTTTCTCAATTTATGATCAACAATTTAATTCTAATTTTTTACTATGAAAATTTGTACTTTTTCATTTAAAACACTAAATATTTTTCAAAAAATAAATTAATATATAACCTATTAGAGTCCCAAAAATTATGAGGCCCAAAGCAGCTGCTTTAACGGCCTTACCCTTGGGGCGACGCTGATTTTAGAGTGTGTTGCAGTTTTCTAAGGTATAATTTTTGCTATTCTTATTTATTTTTAGTGTTTGTTTGGTGTTATAATTTTTAGGATTTGACAGGATTTTCTGATTAAATCTTTTCTTTCATTACCATTTTAGAATTTGTACAATATTTTGACGGGATCAAAAGTGTTCACTACTAGCGAACTGAGAGAACCAAAATAGCTCAAAGTTATACGTAAGGGATAAATTATGAACTTTCCCAAACATAAACAACCAATTTTATCATTTTCTCTTATATAAAATGATTCGCAAATTACAAATTCTTCATTCATCCTTTCTTGTCATTTCCCTGTGAAGCTGCACCTTAGTTTTAGCAAAACAACCATGGCGGCGGCAGCGACGGCGACGGGGCTGAGTAAGAAAAATTTGCTACCGGCATTGAGTAAACCAACTCTTCCGTCTAAACTAGGTCGCCGGAATTTCAGTTTTGGTCTTAAAAAGCTTTCGCCGGTTATAACTACGGCAAATGCTGTGGCGAGTAGTAGTGGAAGTGGTAGCACTGATAATGGTGCTGTTTCAGTCACACGTACGGCTCCACCACTTCCTCCGTCGCCTTCCACCTCTCGGTAAGCTACAATTAGGTATATTTAGTTCATTATTAGGTGCATGTGAGTTGAAATTTGGTAATTTTGTGATTGTTGAGTTGTTTGGAGCTTAGTACGAGGGATTGCAAATATTTTGTGTCAAGGTACTACCAGAATAGCGCAATATACAATATTGTGTACTTCAAAAGGTTGTTCTCTGCTCATTCTATTGACTGATCATTTTCCATTCGGAAATATAGTTCTATTTAATTACCTTTTATTTTTTCTTGGATAGATGTGTGTTTTGACAATTGATTAATGAATGCGATTGTTTTAAAATCATTACCGTGTTTTTTTGATAGATTAGTAACTATTTGTCAATTTGAAATATAATGAGGAGATAAGTTTGTTTATCATTGCTTTGATGGTGACACTAGTTTAGGGGAAAAAGACAAAAAAGAAAAAGGATTGTTTTTTTAAATGTGGATTATTAAGCTTATTTCCGATTTTGATAAGTAAAAGTAGATAAGATGCCAATTATTTTGCCATTTCCCCCTATCTCTATTTGCACGAGTCCATTTGATGTTCCATGAATGAACCACTGGTTCTTGATTGATTAAACTTTTGACTCCCCATCCGCCTACTTTGGTGGGCAAAGTTACTCGGTACCCGTGATTGTGGGAGGTAAGAGGTACCCGGTGGAATAGTCGAGGTGTGCTTAATCTGACACCACCATCATAAAAAAAGAAGAAACTTTTGACTCTTAGTCTCGTGATTCTAGCGGAATATTAAGCCATGAAAAGGTGCTATATTGCTGGGATAGCAGATTCCTTTATCCGAAAACCAGCTTTTTAACCAACTGATTTCATTGAAGGATAAAATCCTCTGGTTCTGAAGATATAATGATTAATGAGCTTTTTTTCACATCACATTCTTTTAGAACTCTTTATATAGGTTATTCCCTCCCCCCTGTTTTGTTCTTTGTTAACTTAACTCAAACCGGAAGAGGGCTGCCATGTGATGGATATCATGGCAGATCCAGGATCGATTTGCAAGTGTTACAATCAACCAGATTTGGTTATTTATTCGGAAAACTAGTACGCCACCTTCTTTACATTTTGATTGACTTATCAAAGAAATAATCTTCTTTACTTTTTGATTCACCATGCTTGTTTATTTGTCTGCCCCCGTGGAGTTGCAATTCACTGTTTATTTATTACCAGGGTAAAATGTCACACCATTTCAGTATTTGTTGGGGATGAAAGTGGTATAATAAACAGAATTGCTGGAGTTTTTGCTCGAAGGGGTTACAATATTGAGTCACTTGCTGTTGGTTTGAACAAGGATAAAGCTCTCTTTACCATAGTTGTCTCTGGAACTGAGAAGGTCTTGCAACAGGTTGTAGAGCAGCTCAACAAGCTTGTGAATGTCCTGAAGGTTAGTTTAATTTTCTGAAATATCAGGCTGTATTTCGTTGTTCAGCTTCTTAATAGTATTTCTCTCTGGGTTTCCGGAGGATGTCTTTATAGTAGGAAGGATACCAATTTGATAGCTTCTATAGGCTCTAGTGGGTGCAGTTGTGTGTTTGTGCATATCGCATGACTAGCCGCACACGTCAGTTATCCGTTTCTACATTTTTGTCAATCAGATCCCCTGTTAACTCGCTTAAACATCCTCCTGCTTGTGTGATATAGTTCTCTAAAAGCATTTATGATTGCTATACTTGTAAGCAATCATCATTTGCAAAAGTTCTCTGAGGTATTTTGTAGAGGAAGCTGTTATTTATAATATAGCAGTAGGTTTGCGCATTTATTTTCCTTTGCCTTTGACATGCAAATCGTGAGAATGATTAGTAATTGTCATTGGTTTCTGATTCTTCAATGTCCTCTCCCGTGAAATCCATGGAATAGTCAAAGTAGTATCTGGATATGCATTATTTTAACCGGCATATGACTTGTTGTCAACTTCCTGTGCATAAGCATTGAATCGAGGTATATCCGTAAATTCTTCTGCAATGAAACAAAATTATATCAATCCTGTATTCAGCTAGCATTGGCTGTTGTCATAAAATAGATCACACTTCCTAATTTGTATTGGTATGATATTTCAGGTAGAGGATTTATCAAGAGAACCACAAGTAGAACGAGAATTGATGCTCATAAAGCTGAATGCAGATGCAAGCACAAAAGCTGAAGTATACAAGACACCTCTCACCTTTCCCGTTTAACTTTGTTCCTATATCAGCAATATTTCTAAATCAATGAGTTGGAACAATCTTCCTATTGATTGATCTTTAGGGGCCAAATTTCCAAATTTACATCTCTGACATACTGGAGCTGGCATATTAATACTCTATCTGCGTGAAACAATCTAAGTCTGTTTACGCGCTGAAGTAACTAAACTGATCAAATGGGAAAATAGAAGCTGGAAATCCTTCATATCAATTTTGTAAAGGCGCTGGAAATCTATAAAGTAAAGAAGGATCTAATTCCATGAAGATCCGTTATAAAACAGAAAACAGGGTCCTTTTCCTTTTAGGCAGTAATTTGATTGCATAGAAAAAAAAATTGTCAAGGTTCCTTGGTCTTCAGCCTTTCAATCTTTCAGTTACAATGTATATAGAATGCAGTGCGTAAATTGTTTAAGATATGGATTATGGCATGCCATTATTTTCTTTCTTAGTCTATGTACTAGCTCTTTATGTTTTACTTTGTTATTCAGATCATGTGGTTGGTGGACATCTTCAGAGGAAAAATTGTGGATATATCAGAGCACTTTTTGACTATCGAGGTGAGTCCGCTCTTCTTTCCCAGTTTTTACATGTCATTTGAAGTGTTTATGATATAACTCTTGCCTTGGGTTCTGATGTGTGGCTAGTACTTGATCAGTGATTGTTTAGCAACTTAATCGCACAACACCATTAAAGATCTTAGATTCATCTCACACAAAGTTTTGCATATACTTATGTTGTTAGTTGTCGTGTAGCATGCAAAACAGGGAATATCAAACAAAACTGAGTTCACTGTTGTCTTCCATGCTTCCATATTGGATTCAAGTCACACTCTCTCTGCCACTTTTTAGTTGGCTGGCCTACTTTTTATTCAAGTCTATCCTAAAATTCTGAACTCTTGGCAAACATTTTCCTCCAAACAACTCAAATTATTACTGCAAACTAATAGTAGTACTTTTTACAACTTAATAAAAAAAAAGGTAACTTATGTTATTTCAAGTTTGATGCAATGTTTTGTCTGTCCCCATTCAACAACAACAACATACCCAGTCTGCTCCCATTCTTAAATATAAACATAAAAATTTAGTACTTCAAACTTTTGTAAACCAATCTTAATAGAAAAATCAATTCACTATTTTAGACTTTTAGTATTTAACTATATGAAAATTAATGAATTAAAATGGGATGGAAGAAAGAATTTATTTTTAATTCTTTATTTCCTTTTTTAAAAATACTTATTCTCTTTGGATATGTAATCCTTGCTAACCGACTATGCAACCGTGTTCCTTGCTATTTGTTCGTGTTCATTTACTATTTGTTTTTTTCAATCTTCTATGGCTTGCTTTTCAGCCATTATTCTGTGCTGCCAATCATGGCTGTTTACCCACGGTTCCCCATATTTTAGTGGATTAAGACATGATAATCTGAATCTAGAAGAAAAGAAACAAAATACTTGTCAATCTGCTTGGCTGCTCGACCCTACTATGTTTAAACTTAAAATAAAAAAAAAATGTAGAGGATGAAAGCTAGTAACATTTTGGTTAGCCATTGACATCTGATTCTTCAGTGTTAAGTCTTTAGCGAGGTTACCATTGCAAAGAGTTCAACTTTGCTGCAGGTTTATTTCTTTAACTTGTATAGTGATGTGTTTATAACCTGGAGTGGTGATGCATAATTTCATTTTAATCAAGTTCTTGTGCTATTTTAAATAACAAGCAGATTGGTTGTCTTGTGGTTGACTTAGGTAACTGGTGATCCAGGGAAAATGGCTGCCGTTTTGAGAAATTTAAGCAAGTTTGGGATCAAAGAACTAGCCCGGACTGGAAAGGTACATTTTCATGTTTGACATGACTGATATATTCTAATATTTACATATATGCCTAAATAGTTTTGATGATTTTAGTTACCATGTTCTCTGATTGCGTAGTTCTAGGTTAATAAGTTTCCTTTGAGTTTAAGCCAGTTATTTTTGGAGACCAGCTGTGGTGATCAAGGTTATGTGTGCTGTTTAAGGTTTGCGTCCAATAAATGGGATTATTAGCTAAAGTTTGAGGAGTCCCAGTTTTCATAGTTTATCTGCTATAAGTCAGATGTTGCTATAATACCTCTAGACTCTAGCATAGAGGCCGACTCACTTTAAATGCAATCAAGTAGTTATTATAAAGATAAAAGGAAGAATGCACTAGGAATCACTTGATGCTGTTATCTGTTGATTGATCATTATCACCACAGATCGCTTTGAGACGTGAAAAGATGGGTGAGGATGCTCCTTTTTGGAGGTTCTCTGCAGCTTCTTATCCAGATCTTGAGGAAAAAATTCCCAGTGTTGGTATCCTGAACAACAAAAGTCAACCAATTGCCAATGAAGCAAGCAATGATTCAAGGGTATATAATGTTCTCAAAACCACTTTCTGTTTGTAAGTTATTTTCATGCATTTTTGGTTTCTGCTTGTACATATACACCAGGTCTTGGTTGTCGTAGACATGCTTGAGAGTTCCATGAATTTCTTGTGGAAACTTGTAGAATCTTGCTATATGTTATGGGTCTAATTTCATTCAACTAGCTCATTAAGATTTCCGATTCTAGCTTCTATTCCCAACTTCTCATGGCTTTTCCCTTTGGATGTGATTTCCATTGACTAAATGTTGATCTTGAGTCATCACCTATACTAAGCTTCCTGAAAGATTCAAGACATAGTAGTTCCAATTTGTAAAAAAAAGTTTGTGGTGTAAACAAAACAATATGTACAGTGTGAAAGCTATTCTCTTCCTAAGCCTTCAAGAAAAGGAAAAGACTAAAAAAGTAATGGGATCTATAAAAACATTGCATTTCCATTTCGCGAATTAGAACTTTGTGATGTTAGAAGAATCAATTTATGCAAGAGAATGCTGGGATTTAAATAAAAGGAAAACGAGAAAAAAGTTATACAATTATCTAATCTTTCACTTCGAAGTCTTTTGAAATTCCTAGAGGCAGAAGTGTGGGTATGAACTGGGCTTCTTATTACCACTTATCATTGCTGATAGTGAATTTAGAGGCCTTAGATTCTTGGATCATAGTCATTGAGTTGCAGGTTGCAAATGAATGATGTGCATTCTTGATTCTACTTTTCTCTTTCATGATAATGGCATGATGCCTTGTCAAAACAAATTTCAAACTTGTTTCAGTTTACTTGTTAAATTTCAGGAGGTCATCCCATAATTTATTATAAGATTAGGTTATCAAGAAAAAAATTTATTGTTGTCCTTAGCTCTGTGAGCTGATGTCATTCATATTAGGCTTGCATTTCTTCTGGCTCTCTGGTTCTGCTTTATTTATGATGGTTTAATGTGTTGAATCTCAATAAGCAGAATTTGCATTCAGTTTTAGCCAAAAAATTTAGGATATATTTTTGCGCTCTGATATATGCTCCGATCTCACCCCTTGTATGTGTGAATTTCTGTTTGATTTTCTTGCTGTGTTTCCTTTAATCTAAATTTGCAAATCTTCTTTTTCTTTTTATTTTTTAATTAATATAGGGTGATGTTTATCCCGTGGAATCCAGTGATGATATCTCGGTTCAAGTTCTTGATGCCCACTGGGGATATCTGTATGATGGAGATGTAAGGACCCAATCTGCTTCTCAAGATCAATCTATTTATTTCTGTGATCCATGGAGAATCCTACATTACTCCGTATCTGTGTGTCATATTTTAGTCCGTGAACTATTAAGCCTTCTAATAGATGAAAAGCTGAATTTTTCTTTCCCAAATTGAGAAAGATAGTCGGAAAAAAACGGTAATTAAAAAAAAAAAACCTTCATGCATATCCCTCCCAAATGCCACATTCTAAATTCACAGGACCTTTTTGTTAAAGCAAGTATTAATTAGTCAAAGTGGAGCCATTGTTAGACAAGAACTCTAGTCTACCTTATCAAAAAAAAGAAGTCAAGAACTCTAGTCTTAGTCGATAAAAGAAACTTATGGAGGCTATTCTGGTGGTTCTCTTGATTCCCTCTACATGCTGCAAATCTGATGATCATTTTGATGCTGCAGTTGAGTGGGCTTCGGTCGCACACTATATCCATGCTTGTCAACAATGCTCCTGGGGTCCTCAATCTGATAACCGGTGTTATATCTCGACGAGGATATAACGTTCAGGTTGTTTTTTCCACTGATTCTTGCTGTTTCCTTTACAATTAATTTCTTTTCTGCTTGGTTTTTTCGTTCGAGCTTCATTTCAATGATTATGTTGCAGAGTCTTGCTGTTGGCCCTGCAGAATCAGAGGGGCTTTCACGCATTACAACGGTGGTCCCTGGAACTGATGAAACTATAGGAAAATTGGTCAAGCAATTTTACAAGTTGGTAGATATTCATGAGGTAAGTGTACAAGTTGATAGATGTTCACGAGCTAGCTACAAGCTGATTTGAGATGAATAGGTGCTTGGGAAAAAGTTTACCTACCATTGAAACTCAATATACTATAAGAGGGGGCCAAACTAGTCTTAGTATTTGTTACTGTAATTATTTTAAGGAATTGTTTAGTTTTCCGTCAATTTGACCAGTGAGAATCCTGGTCTTTATCTGGCCTAGCGATCTGATAATCGTTTTGTCTTTGTTTTTTAAAGTTTCCCACCTATTCTTAGAGTTAGCGCTTTTCTGTTCAACCTTCCTGGTAGTGCGCTTAGCCTTGTTCATCTTCCGGACTCTTTGCACTTTGCCACCTCTGTTGTAGTTTCACTAAAACTTAAAAGGCAAGCAAGTATTGTACTTTCACCTCTCCCTCACCATTAAGGTCATAGTGATTAAAACCACACCTTCTCAACGAGCAAATAAAGCTTATAGAGCAAAAGAAAATTTTCAGCTTGACTGAGATTTTTATCCACTCTAGGAAAATGGCTGTTACATTATTGGAGCTATTATAATAAATTTCAATCTTCACAGATATGTACTTAAATCTTGTTCGTTGGAGTTAGATCAGACGGATAATACAATTGTGCTCGGTGTTTTTAGGTTCAAGATATAACTCATTTACCATTTGCGGAGCGGGAGCTAATGCTCATTAAAGTAGCCGCCAATGCAACAGCAAGGAGGGATGTCCTTGATATTGCCAGTATTTTCCGCGCTAAACCTGTTGATGTGTCTGATCATACAGTAACATTGGAGGTAAAACTTTTATTTTTGGGGTTAAGTAACATTCATGGTGAAAATTTAAATCTCTCTTCTTTTTTTGGTGTTTTCAGCTCTTTTCGTGCTGTTACTTGTTGTATGCATGCTCGCATCTTATAGAAGATTATGTTTTTAATTGTCAATTATTTATACCTTTATTTATCATGTTCGTTCTAACGATTTCTTATGTCAGTCAATCAGTTAATCATTAATGCACACATGTTAACACCATTCTATTAACATACTTGACCAGTGGCGCAGGCAAGATTTTGCACAAGCGGTGTGGGTCTATTGTCACAATTCCGCTTGTAAATGGGTTCAACTCTGGGAATGTTCTATTTTAAAGGCTCTACTTCAAGTCCTGTGATAGTTATTTTTGTATTATTTTCAAGCGGTGTCAGTTTGTTCTATATATGCATATTGCTTTTGTAAAAGATATTATATTTTTAATTGGCGCTTCTGTAAAAGATATAAATATTTACACACACATACAAAGAAGGTTCTTCGTGGATAATGAAAAGGACTGTTCGTGAATACCTGTGCCATTTGCCCAGATCCCTCATTGACTTCTCTCTGAATTTGATTGCGTGCACTTTTTGCAGTTGACTGGAGACTTTAATAAGTTGCTGGCATTGCAAAGATTACTGGAGCCTTATGGCATTTGTGAGGTTTGTTTCTCTAAGCTGCATTTTGATTTGTAAACGTATATAGGCCGGCATCTTGAAAGTGGTATCCTGCATTTGAACAATCTGAGTTTGTATGTTCTGAACCTTTTTTGTTCTTTCCTTCTCTCCAATCTTCGTCTCCTTGGAGAAGAGCAATCCATAGTTTAGCGCATGAAGTTAGGATGTGACTTGTAACCAGAAGGATGAACCGAACATTATTTGACTTGACAGGGCTTGGTTAGCCTGACAGAGATTCGGAAGTTACTCACCAAGTGAGCTAGCCCTTAACCCCAGAAAGAAAGCTTGCATCTAGTTTTTACTTTTAATGTTTTTTTTTGTGTTTTCCAAAAGTTGACTGTTTTAGAATCGAACTTCAAGTACAGTTCTAAGTGATCTGAGGTTGTGAAGTATGTGCATTTAAAGGCTCCAATTGTAATGCTTGTACTTCTCTTATTCTAATGATGTGTGTGTTTCTACAACCGCAGTAGTGACTTAGTTATTTACGAAATAGATGAAGTTAACATCAAGCTTCAAACTTCCATTATTAACCTTGAGTCTGCAGCTACATTTTTGCCCAGGCAATGGACGCTCTAACACACCATATTCAAGGGGAGGTGCCATGTTGTATGTTATTCGCTGATGATATAGTTTTGATTGATGAGACGCGAGGCGGCATTAACAAGCGATTGGAGGTTTGGAGACAGGCCCTTGAGTCTAAAGGTTTCATGTTGAGTAGGACTAAGACTGAATACTTGGAGTGCAGTTCAGCGACATGACAGGGGAAGAGGACGTGGATGTGAGGCTTGACTCACAAATCATCTCGAAGAAAGGAAGATTCAGGTACCTTGGGTCAATTATCCAGATGGGGAGATAGACGAGGATGTCACTCACCGAGTAGGGGTGGGGTGGATGAAATGGAGGTTAAGATCTGGAGTCCTGTGTGACAAGAATGTGCCGCCGAAAATTAAAGGTAAGTTCTGTAGAGCGGTGGTTAGACCGGCCATATTGTATGGGGCCGAGTGTTGGCCAGTCAAGAAGTCGCATATCAGAGATTGGAAGTAGCAGAAATGAGGATGTTGAGATGGATGTGTGGGCACACTAGGCTTGATAGGATTAGGAATGAGGTTATTCAGGAGAAGGTGGGCGTGACTCCGATGAGAGGCTCAGATGGTTTGGGCACGTGCGGAGGAGAAGCCTTGATGTCCCGGTTAGGAGGTGTGAGCGGTTGGCTTTGACGGGCGTAAGAAGAGGCAGAGGGCGACCTAAGAAGTATTGGGGCGAGGTGATCAGGCAGGACATGGCGAGACTTCAGATCTCCGAGGACATGGCTCTTGATAGAAAGGTTAGGGTTGAAGGTTAGGGGTAGTCGAGCGTTTTTCTTCTTTATTCCGAGGGTGAGACTAGTCTTATAGGGTTGTGTCTTAGTTTGCTAGTGGCGTATGTTGTGTTCACATTATTTTCCCGTTTTCATAGTACTGTGTTACTAGTTGCGGTTTTTGTTAGTGCCTTTCCACCTATTTTTCGTCTCTTACTATGTTGATATTATATTATCTCTGTGGTTGCTGCTGCTGGTAAGTATCTATTATCTATGTTCGCCTTTTGAGCCGAGGGTCTTCCGGAAACAACCTCTCTACTCCTTCGGGATAAGGGTAAGGTCTGCGTACACTCTACCCTTCCCAGACTCCACTTGATGGGATTTTACTGGGTTGTTGTTGTTTGTTGTTGTTGTTGTTGTTGTTGTAGTTTGTAGCTACATTTTTGATTCCGAGACATCCTAGCTCTTTGAGCAGGACTTCTCCTGATGTATCTTTGTCATGCAACATGGTTGATATATGATTCTTGCATGCAAATCTAAAGACATTAGTAAGATAGGTTTCAGACGTAAAAAGTTTCAAGAAGATACCACTAACGTACAGTCATCTGATCTGGAAACTGTTCCCTGGAAATACTTGACAAGTAGAACAATCATACATAATATGGCGTGATGCCCCTACCTCTATGTACTGTGATGATCTTGAATTATCTGCAGCATACCAATGAAGACATCCAGTCATGAAATGTAAATAATTCTTAACCACTGAAGTATGAAGAGTGAATGATTACTTTGGCAAATGCCTTAACTTTATTAGATGTTCTGGAGTCGTTAGGTTTTTGGTTTTCCACATCCATATGGAGCCTTGATGCTTGCACTCTTTGAGTCTTGAGCCTTGCGTTATAAGAACCATCTACTTGGAGTTGTGTTCTGTTGCACTGTTGGGAAATTTACCAACGTGGTCTGTAAGATCTTAATTAACGGACATGAAGTAAATTAGGGAGATGGATTTATTGTTGAATCTTGTAAAATAATTAACTAGAGGATGCATTTAAAACAAGAACCTGTACTTCAAAGCCTGCTTTTGAGTAGTGTTACTCTCTTATCCACATCATCATTTTTTTTCCCCTTGTAGGTGGCTCGTACAGGGCGGATAGCATTGGTGCGAGAATCAGGCGTGGACTCGACATCCCTCCGGGGTTATCCTCTTCCTTTATAGTGCTAGTTAAATGTCTAAGCGCATTTTAATATGGCCGAGTTCTTTTTCTTGCTGATTTCTATTAGTCTGTGAAAAGAGAGTTTAGTTGTATGCTATTTATAGTGCGAGCAGGTACCTGATAAAAGTAAGATTGTCACTATCACATTAGTGACGGTTCTGTTGTATTATTTAGGCATTCAATCACAGAATTTTAATTGAAAAAAGTTTGACAGAACTCCAAAATGTGGAGTAGAGCCTAGTAAGTTGAGTAATGTTGTATATTAACGCAGTTGGGAGAAGTGCATGTCAAATATCTATATACTAGTTACTAGTGAATTCGTTTGCACTAAATAATTATTTTTTAAATATTCGATTATTAAATCATAGATGTCTTATATCTATGAGTTTCTTATAATTTCTGTAATTAATTGACTCCAAGGTAACGTTCATCTTTATGTAATTAATAATAAAGTATGACATGGTAGCTTGAAAAGTAGAACAATAACTTGTTATAGCAGGTTAAATTGCACTGATAGTGTAAATATTCTATACACTGTCACTGCATATACATTATATCTTTTACATATACTACGTACATTTTTCACACTGTGAGTATATACCGGGTATGTTTTTATTGTTGTTATACTAAGTACTTTTGTTTGGATATTCTTAATTAAGCTTTTCTAGTAGCTTTAATCTCATAAAGGCGGTAGACAACATCATCAACAATCAAAGATAGATTCTTGAGTTTGCTCTTAACCATAGTAACAAAAACCAAATCTTCAACATCTTTAAGAGCATTGGCACACATTTTTCCATTCCTTTTTGTCTTCTTCAACACATGTTCCATAGACAGTGAATAATCATCAAATAAGAAATTATCTGATGATTTAAGATGCTTTACTAAATAAAGTGTATCCTTAAGCTCTTCCATATTCTCCATTACACCTTCAACACAACCAAAAACTTGAGAATTACTTGTAGTTTGTAAATACCTTAAGCTTTTAAGCTTAAGGAGAGAGTTTATGAACCTTTTTATTTCCTTAACTTCGCGAATGCCTTGAGCTATGGCGTCGTGTGCTAGTGTTTTTGCCTTTTCAATTTCAACCTCATTTGATGATCTCCTTGCACTTCCAAGAAAGGTGAAATTTGGTAGAAGAATTGTAAAAAGAAAACAAAGAATGATAAAATTCTGATTGTTACCCATTTCTGAGTTTTCCTCTTCTTGTTTTTCCTTATGTTGTGTGGAGTTGTAATTTTCTGGATTGAATTTATAGTTTTGAAACTTAGAAGAAAATATGAGGAATTAAGCAAGTTCAGAGATTGTTGAGTATAGGGAAAAAAGATATGGTTATTCTGTTTCATGTGGCATGAATGTAAACATTAATTAATTAGGCTGATTATTCGGACCAATTTTTCTTGCAAGGAAACCATGCATAATTTTTAGGCCTTTTGCAGGGCAGTGCAGATTTGATGGGTTGAAGAAGGAATTTTAATATGAGTTAACAAGAGTTGGATAAATTCTCTTATTACCTACCTATGTGCAATCAAAAAAAAAAAAAAGGAAAAAGAAGAGATGACATTAAGTAATCCTTAGAAAGTAATCTTAATATTATTATTATTTATTGTATAATATTCACAAATTTCTGGCTTCTGTTGATGATATTTAATTATTTTCTATTCTTCCTCTCGAGCAGAGGGTCTTTCAGAAACAGTCTCTTACCTCCCAGGGGTAAGATCTGCGTACACACTACCTTTCTCAGACTCTACTTGTGAGATTTCACTGGGTTTGATTGATTGGTTGTATAATACAACAACAATAACATACCCAGTAATATCACACACCGTGGGGTTTGGGGAGGATAGAGATAAAGCTGATTGTATAGTATTCACAAAAAATCTTTATAGTGCTATTTATGATAGTAACATTTATTTCATTATAATTTTTTCATAATTAGACCAACCAAATGACTTATAGTTTACAAGACCATTTTGCCATTTTTCCCAAATCCCCTTTTCACGAAATAACGACATTATAATTTTCCTAACACTCTCTTTTCTAAGCTACCTTCATCAAGTTAAGAATTCTCGATCTTTATAAATAAATTGGTTTCAGTTAAATTCCTCTTGTGAAAAATTATAAGTGAAAAATTAGTTATATACGCATATAAAATACTTTTAAATCTCCTTAATATAAGATAAGCTATAGCTCAATATTGTTTAGAGTTCAGTATTTACCTTGGTAAGAGACAAAACGACGGCGTCCTGATTCTTTTTAATAACTTTTTCCCCCTTACCTTGTAATCTAAAGATTTTATTTAAAAAAATGTATTGGAATTATTACAGAAATCTTAAAAGATCAAAAAAAATTGAGAAAGAAGAATACTTGACCTCCAGATCCGTCGCCGTTGCCGGTCGTCGGCGCAAGCTACGGCAGCCAAGGCAATTATATGTTTGGACAAAAACCTGAAATAAGTTTAGCTGTTGAAATTGACCCTCGATATATAACTTTCTTATTTTTTTTTATTTTATTTCTACAGTAAACTGTTGTGCAAAATGGAGATAAAAGACGGTAATGAAAGTGCAAAAGAGATCAGCTTTAGATGTGTTCAGTGTGGATTCTCAGTCACAACTCTATATATACAGTACTCTCCTGGCAATATCCGCCTCATGAAATGTGTACGTGATACTCTTTCCTCGTTGGTCTAAAGAATGACACTTTTCTATATTTAAAAATATTTTATGTTAAACTTTCTATAATGACATTGATTTATAGCTACAGAAATGTCTAGCTTGTTTTAAACACATGTTTAAAAAATCTATTTCCTCTATCCTAGTTTATGTGATACACTTTTCTTGTTAGTATGTTTCATAGAGAGGATGTGTGGGCACACTAGGCCAGATAAGATTAGGAATGAACATATTCGGGAGAGGGTGGACGTGGCTCCCATGGACGTCAAGATGCGGGAAGCGAAGCTTAGATGGTTCGGGCACGTGCGGAGTAGGAGCGTAGATGCCCCAGTTAGGAGGTGTGAACGGTTGACTTTGACAGGTACGAGAAGAGGCAGAGGGCGGCCTAAGAAGTATTGGGGTGAGGTGATCAGGCAAGACATGACGCAACTTCAGATTTTCGAGGATATTGCCCTGGATAGGGAGGTGTGGAGGTCGAGCATTAGGGTTGTAGGTTAGGGGCAGTTAAGCGTTTTTCCAGTTAGTCTGATAGAGTTTTGTCTAGGTCTGCTAGCAGTTGTTGTTTATCACACGATTTTTATTTCCAATATGTATTGTTTTTCATTTTTATTATCATTAACATACATATTGTCCTTCCACTTATTTGTTGTCTCTTACGGTGTTGATATTATTTGTCTGGTTTATGTTGTTGTTACATATCGTTTATCTCTGAGTCGAGGGTCTCCCGGAAACAGCCTCTCTACCCACAGGGTAGGGGTAAGGTCTGTGTACACTCTACCCTCCCAGACCCCACTAGTGGGATTACTACTGGGTTGATGTTGTTGTTGTTGTTGTATGTTCCATAGAGAATGACATATATTTATATTTAGAAACAATTTAATTTTAACCTTCCTATTTTACATAATGAGATGCAAATTGTAGCCAGAAAAATGTGTATAACTTGTTTTAGACCACAAGTTTCAAAAATATTTAGTTCTTTCTTAAACTCACTGCCCCGTCAAACAACTTACATAAATTTGGAGGAAAGGAGTAATATTTTTTTGTTTTGGGATGGAGTTGTTGGAATATATATCCAGTGTACAAACCAATATACAGTAGTTCTTTTTGTAACATTGATTTGGATGCTCTACTTATATAACCAATATACCAACCAATATAGTTCTTTTTGTAACATTGATATGGATGCTCTACTTTGTGCAGGGAAATTGCAAAGCAATTGCTGATGAGTACATTGAATGTGAACTTATGGTAATTAATACAAAAAAAGAATATTAAATTAAAAAAGAAAGAGAGAGAGAGAGAACACGAGTTCTATTTATAGATTTCATTCTTGTTTTAGTTCCTAATTGTTTTTTTTGGAATGTAGATATTGGTTATTGACTTGATTTTGCATAAAATTAGAGCCTACAGACACTTGTTCTACAACAGGTTCTCTTGTGAGACTTTGCATAATGAGGTACGTGATAGTGTATTTCTAGTTTACTTATTTTTTTTGCAATGTATGTTGACATGGCATTACAAACTGATGTTGTTCTCATTTTCTTCTTTGATTTTATTTGTTTTTTGTTCCTTTTTTGCAGGGCTTGTTGTGGAAATTATCTCTGGGCTTCCTGATATTAGATGCTTGTATCCTTCTATTCTCTAGTTCATATTCACCGATATCAAGCATTTATCTACAATTTGTGTATTCCAATATTTCAACAAATTATTACATATATATACTTCCGTGCATATATGGAAGGTTTCTCTTTCTTCGTGAACTAGGTATTGCCAAAAGTAATTCTTCAATATTGCACTGTGAGCACACAGTTGATTGTTTAGTTTAATCTTCATGCTAGATTTTGACTACATGATAATTTGAAGAATTAACTATTTTCGTTTTCTTGTAAGTTTCTCTAACCAGCAATTTGCAATTACAAATCAGATATAAATTTGAATTCTGAAGTATTTCTCCTTGACGTTGTGGTTGATCATTTTCAATTATAAGTGTATAAATGTTTTCTCTTCTCTTTATCAACAAAAATATTTTCTCTTCTTGTGAGTGCATGATTTTAATCTCGAGATAACGTATTAAGCTATTAGGCAGAGGCGGATCCAGGATTTAAACCCTATGGGTTCAACTTTTAAATTTTTTAGCATTGAGCCCATTATATTTTTTAAGTTATGGGTTCATCTCTATTATTTTTGTAATTTTAATGAATTTTTACATATAAATTTTTACTCCGCGTCGAAAGTTATGGGTTCAATTGAACCCGCCGAGTATATGCTACATCCGCCCCTGCTATTAGGCTTTATTGAACTAAGAATCAGAACTCCAGTTCAGTGACAGAATTCAATGACAAACCTCTGTTCCTAAAAGGGCAATCTTTAAGACATGCATTGTTTAATGGCCTTAACTAGTAAAGACCAAATGCTGGTAGTATGCACAACTCAAGATGAGAAGAGTTTGTCAGCAAGCTTTGCCTCATTTCTGGGGCTTTCTGGAAAGGTGCATACCATGAAATTTGTTTCTAAAGTTTTATTTTACCGCCTATCCACTCCCCTGTAGATCTAGATCTTTGCTTCAAACATAATGTGATGGTTGCTGTTGTTAGGTGCTCACGGGAGTCTTCTTTGGGAATCTCATATTCCTTGGCATAATTCTATTTGGCACAAGGAGGTTTCTGAATGCAAAAATAGGAGATTCAAGGTAAAGCTTTTCTTCATCTTATAATTTAGTTTATATTTGTTCTGTTGTTTAATACTCTCTTTGCGCAAAATAAATGTCTCTGTTTCTTTTCTCGGACGTTCCAAAATGCTTGACACCATTTCACTTATATATCGTTCTACATTACGTTCTAGACAGAATTTCCTGTTGGTTATGCTTTACCCGCTCTATATATATAATACATATTCTACAATCAGTAAGTAGCTGTGAGCTGCTGATTGAAAGATATTTCAATCAATAAGTAGATGTGAGCTGCTGATTAGCCTTTAGACATGGACTGCCTAAGGTTCTTTATCTAAGATTTGAATTCACTAATTTTCTTACTGAGTAGAGAGTTGATAAATCCCATCTTGCTTAGACAAAATTTTGAAATCAAGGATTAGGCGGTGAAGAATAATACGCTGGATTTGATGCTAAGATATTTCTAGAGAGAAGGTAGGGTGATTGGCCTCCAAGGACCAGATGATCCGACAACTAATATTTCTTAACCCCAACTAGTAGATATCGGCTGTATGAATCTTCACTATCCATTTCGTTATGTATTATGAAGACTTATTGTGAAATGACTAGTTTTATGTTGCCAGTTGGTTGACTGTAACACTCCTTTTTTATTTCGGGTTGGCTCACACGGAGTCATTAAGGAGCATATGATTACCTGTAATAGTTTAATTGGATAAAAAAGCTCCTATGAAAAGCAGAGGTTTTAGCCTAAATGATTTCCTCAGCTGTCAAGTTAGCATATTCATCTTTGGAGCTGAAACATACTATTATTTTTATTCTTTACTTGGATTTGAAATCGACAGGTGTAAGCATATATTGCTTTCGATCCTCGTTTCTAGTTACTTCAAGATTTTTCTTATTGCGATGATGGTATGTTCCTTGCTGTCATTTGGCCTTATTGTTTCAATTACTTGGAAACTTTCTTGATTCACAGTAATACTTTTGTACTAATGTTTTTATATATTTACAGGTTTGGGAATTTCCCTCTTCCGTTGTTTTCATCATTAACATGTTTGTCTTGTCATCTAATGCACTGGCATTGCTGGGTAAGAAGTTCTTTTCAAAATTATTTTGAAATTTGAAGTTTGTGTACTAGACTATTTGTCAGTTGCACATGTAGCTAGTGTACTAAGATGCATATTAAATATGGTTGTACTGCTCGTCCTCTGCACTCTCTGGGTGCTATTCTTTTATCTAATTTTCATTACATTTTCAAAAAAAAAAAATATTTGGGGCCCCAATTGAACTATGAATCAGGGGTTGGGGAATTAGTGAGTGGGCTTAGGTATTAAGTTTTCGAGGCCAGATCTAATTTTTCTCCCTATTGATAGTTGAATGTGGCAGGTCTGCTGGCTAGTTTAGACACTGTGTAACTTTTAGTATCTTTTCTTGAATTTGGTTAAATGCCATTGGTTGTGTCTCTGTGGAAGGCCTAAAGATGAAAATATATGATTTATGACTTTGGTCGTGAAGTTATTCGTTGGTAGGATTCATAAGAGCCTAGAGGTGTTGATGTTTTTGTTCTTCATCTGAGGAGTTAATGCTTTGGTGTTCTTCTTAACTTATCAGTTGGATGGATGTACCAACTAATATTGGCATCTTAGAGAAAGTATTTTATGTTCTTATAAGAATTTAGAGGTTTTGATCAGTATAACAAACCTTAGCAGATTGAGTTACAGTGAAACTTGGCTGGACATAAAGCATAACCTGAATGCACATGGCTACAGTATGGTCTGGATTGTTGAAGATGAAGGAAAGAATTGAGCAACCAGAATGGTGTATGGTTTGAATATTGACCAGGAGTTAAATTGCTGTGTCACTGCCAAACATTTTGGTCATTAAAAGATAATAGCGCTTGCACTGCCTTAACTGTTGAGTTTTAGGTTGATAGCTGTTCAGATATGAACATGTAGAATTCAGATTGGAATTATATTAAAGAGTTGTTCTGTAGGTTGATCCCTAAATATAACTAATAATTCTGTTGAGTTTTAGGTTCTAATCTTGCTTCTTTGTTTTAATAGTTGATATTCAGAGTGATATGTATAAATAGAGACTTATGGCCTTGCAAACAAGAAGCAAAAACCATGCTATCAGACTTCTCTATGCATCTACTAAATATCAACTAATTTGTTCTGGACTTTTATCAGAAAACTTTGTATTCTGTGTTTCGATGACATACTTTACCTTATTGTGAACCAGTGATCACGGATGCGGTCATGATTAGATGCATATGGGTCTGCTTTGCGGCACATGCCATGAAATTCCTTGTTACTCAAGGGCTTGGAGCATATCGAAAGCTAGTTCTTTGGTAGTCATTTGGCAAAACTTCTAATGGTTGCATCTTGCATTAGCTTGAGAGGCGTGATTTCAAATGCCAAATGGTTCAGGTAATCTCCTTTGCAACAGAGGTTATTTAAATCAGGGCCCTTAACTTTGATCTTCAACAGCTTTTGAATCTAATATATGGTGGACGTAAATCTTGTCAAAGTATGGTGTTTCATTGATATGTTGGTTTTAGGCTGAAAACCTCATTCCGCGTGGCTTCTGAGGGGTGTAATCAAGGTGTTTATAATCGTCTTATTGGATGGGACCTGAAAGCTCCTCACTTTTATACCCGTTGCTGGTCCAACGTACTAGAATAAGCAAGGTGGTGTTTTCGGATAGGAAAGTTTGACTTTGGTGATCGCTGAGATGCCTACGTCAAACATGGAGAGCAGCATTGATACTCGTTTTACGATAATGATGTTCTATTTTTTCACTTTTTCAATAGAGATTTATGTTCTTTGGACAACAGTCCATCTAGAATGTAGGTTAACATTAACCTGGGAGAACACCTATTAGCTCTATTTTGTTTTTGTTATGCTAGATCTTTGTTTTTATCATTTTCTGAGTGTCAGATAAGTGTTCATCCATTTTCATCCTTCTGCTGGTGTAGTTTTAAAGGAGCTAGCTAGCTAACGTCTTTTGGCTTGCTATTATGTTAGTTGTAGCGCGCCTTCCCTCCTCCTCTCACTTTTCTATTGACTCGTGATTTGGCCTGGTCGACCCAATCATGATGTTGTTGAAGAAGGTGATGAGTTAGATGGAATCTTAACTTATCCAATATTATTTATCCTTAGGAGATCTCATGTTAACTCAAATTGGCTCAAGCCCAATGCCACTGAAGCAATTGCTTTAAGCCTCAAAAATTGATGGCCCAAGTGGATCAATTCAATTTTTTCTTTTAATACTTAGAATTAAGAAAAATGAGATTGTTAGATGGTGAAAATTTAAAGAAATACGTACCAAACCAATATTTTACTTCAAAAATAGATTTGAATTATTCAAAATGATGGAATTACTTTTGACATCTTAGTTAGTGATAGAAAAAATTAAGATTACTAGTGGATGAAAATTTAAACGAATATTATATTAAGCTTGAATGTTTCTCAAAAGATTACATAGTTTTCGTGAACGGTAAAGAGGTGTGCAAGATTGCTCGAGCATCAATATTATAAACAAATTCATATAAACATATAACCATTTCCAAATGCCACAAACCACTACCATCGAAATACTCTCCAATTGTCTCGTCGTTACCATGAAGGTGAAGGCCATCTCTAATTAAAAGTAGTCTTTAGTTGAATTTCTTTTTTTAGAAGAATTGTCCCCACTTTACTTAGCATTTTAGGAGTTAAGACCTTATGTGTTCACCTACATGCATTAATATATGGACTAATAAGCAGAAATCTATTTGACTCTAGTACTGCAAGAAAGGAGAAAAATCGATAAATGAAAAGTCAATTAGGCACGACTCCATTTTCTTAGTCTTAGTTATAGAGCCTAATGACACAATCCAAAATGTGTTAAAATCATGTTCAATGTTTCTTACTTTACAACTTTAAAACATCATATCTCTATCATTTTAAGGTCAAATCGGGTGCTTCAAAAGGCTATCTTGGGTAGAATTGCTATTTTGGGTAGAATCTCGCAAGGATTATGTTGGGCGATGAGTTTCAGGATCATCTAGCATCTGATTCTATTTTATTTTTTTTTATTTTTTTTTAGAATTTAGTCACTTTTTCACCAAGTTTTGAAGCTCGGGAAGAGGTATTTTTTAGGAGATTTTCATTACTACTCTGTGGATAAGTAATTTCTACTTGGTTGATTATATGTCTTAATTATCATGAATTTATACACTTTAATCATGAAAGAGAAATTTTGGAATTTTTGTCTACACATTAAGAGAATGTATTTGGAGCTTCAACAAAAATACTCCAATTCTGGATCCACAATACCATTCAACAATATCTTTATAGGTAGTGATCTTATGCTAAACTTATTCCTGTTATCCACAACTATCAGAACAAATCATCTCATCGTTTTGGTATGCACGACACCATTCTACAACTTCGGTCATGTTTTAGGTGGCGATAATTAGTGTTTGTAAAACTGAGGGTTTAGAATTAAGGGTACCTAAAAAATGAACAATTTTTTTTAAAATCTTTAATACTCTAACTCCTAGTTGAAGGGTTCAATGGACATTTCATGTTTCTTCTTCTTCTTCTTCTTCTTCTTTTCTTCTAATTTGCAACTAACGGCTTTTTCCTTCAATCATATCCAAGATTCATTACTTGGTTCCTAATTTAATTTTTTTTTTCTTTAAATTTTTTGCACGAGAATTATTAAAAAAAAATAGATAATTAGACTAACAGTCTTTTCCACTAGTGCAATTGCGTAGACTGGATGAATATGTAATTGTTTTTATGTTTAGGTTTTCGAATTTTCTTTTTTATTTTATTTTTCCTCAATGATTAACTAGAAGAAAACAAAATTGAATAGATACAGACTAGTATTCCTTCTTTTTCCTTTTTTTTCCTTTCTCTCTTCCGGGAGGAATGGTCACTGGAATACAATACAATTGGATTGATAATATTCACTTAATTTGAATACTTGAAATGAAAATAGGTATTGGGATATTGTTTGGAACCATGAAGACAAACTAGGAGTTTTTGATAAGAGGGTGTTTGGATTGACTTAAAAGCTGGTCACAAGCTTAAAAATACTTTTTAGCTTATTTTGGTATTTGGCAAATACAAAAAGTCAAGTGCTTTTGAGCCAAAAAATTAAAAACAAGCCAAAAGCAATAAGTTGATCTGTCCTAACTTATTTTTTTGGGTTTAAAAGTTTCTTGAGTTTGACCAAATAATTTACCCTATTATCCCTTACATACTTTTATTATTACCTAAGTACCCTCTCTTACTAAAACTTCTAACCCGTCTCTTTTTCTTCCCATTTCTTCCTAACTGGTATCATAACCTCAGGAGTATTTTAAACTGATTAGCAATACTTGTTTCTCTACTTCAAAAGCTTTCTAACTCGTTCAAATTCCATTTTTGATTCATTTGCAAAACCAAAAATGAAAGCAGAAGGCAAGAAAGTAACTTTTACGTGGTTCTTCGATTTTTAAAAGTACTTCACTTTAATTTATTTACTTTGTGGGTAATTTTATATGATTTGTTTATATAGTTTAAGTATATTTTTTAATTATAATTATTAATTAATGCTTTACCCAATAAGTACTTTATATTAATTAAAATAATCTTATCTAATCAGTATTATAACTTAAACTGAATTGATACACAAATTAATCTGCATTTGAGTTAATTTAAAATTAAAAATGCATCAATAAGCTTATTTTTAGTGTTGACAGCTTTAGGGCATCTCGGTTATTTTAACAGAAAAAAGTGCTTACCAACACTTGTTTACCAAACATTTTAATAGCTTTTTTTAGCTTAAGCATTTCTATCCAAACACGTAACTGCTTATTTGTAAAACAAGTTCAAGCACATAAAAAGTGCTTTTAAGCACCTGTGCTTAAAAATCACTTTTTTCAGCCAATCCAAACGGGCTCTAAGTATATCTTGTCAGTGGAAATATAAGTACTATTGAAAAATAACAAAGAAAAATTAAATATCTTCTTCCGAGGCGCGAATATCTCGCTCAAGGAGATTCAAGCCACCGGAGATTACTAGTCCAACACTAATCTCTCCCAAGATATAATAGTCCAACAACATCTTACTCGTACTCTGAATAAGTTGTAGAGTCGAAAGCTCCACCAAAATATGGACAAAGTAAAATTTTCTTTTCTAGTAAAAAGTAAAAGATTTAGAATTCTTTCTCACGACTCTTTTTCTTTTACAAATACAACTCAACTTTTGTGCACACTATGATACTTTTCACACATTCAAAAGGTAAAAATGACCACTATTTATAGGTGTAGGAATTCTTCCTTAAAATAATGTGGTAGATAATCAAGTAATAAGTTATGACATTATGGGTGAATATGGGTTAGTGGATAATTTAGTGTGCTTGTAGTTGTAGAACATGGGATAGTAGTTACAAAAAAATTATAGACACTTCCTGCATCATGGGATAGTGGGTTAGTAGGAGTTATAGCCACTTTCTACACTTAATATAATACAAATAATATTAGTATTTTAATATTAAAGTGCAATATATTTCTTTCCTACAAATTGACTGGTAAATGTATGTCACATCATAAACTAAAAGAAATTTCTGTCATGATGTCTCCATTTTCCTTGCTTTTTATGCAAGTGAATATGACCTACATGGAAAGTAATATCAGCAAGTTCAACAAAAGAAGGAAACACAATGTTAGAGAGAGGGAAACATTTCCCTTTCCTCTGTTTCCTGTCGTGTTTAACACACATCCCCCCCCCC